TTATAAAACAAGATACTCATTAATAAAAATGTAAACACAACATTAAAACTATTAAAATAATTTAATTAAAAATAATTTAATACATTCATAACACAAATTGTACTTTTTTATATTTTTTATTAAAAAAAAAAAAACTGGAAGCACTGTTTTTTTATACTATCTAACTTAAAAAACATAAAACTTTAATTTTATTTTCCTTCTAAGATGCTATGACCCATTTCCATGGCTCTGGGAAGAAGAGAGTGCATAACTTGTTTTAGTGGTTGTTTTATTTAAGTGTATTAAACATTAAGAAATAGATCTTCTTTTGCCCATTAAAAAGGAAATAGATCTTCTTTTCTCAAAACATCAAAAAAGGATCTTCTTTTCTTAAATTATTTTCTATCAAGATTTGAATAAGCTAAATGTATATTTTAAGTATTAATACAATAATTTCTTTTGATTGTCTAAGTACTAATGAAATAATTTAATCGTAACAAGATGCTGAACATCATTTGTGATAGATATTAATAGGTAAAAATGACTTATTTATCAGCCTGTAAACTCTTCATTACTAGAATATATGCCCTAGAACTTTTTTTCTTTATTGGGGGAGGATCAACCCCCTAACTCTCCTCTACCTTCAATTGAGAACATTTCTCAGTATTTTAATTTTCAATTTTTATATATTTTTTATTTTAAAAATATATAAAATATTAATTAAAATAAGTATTAAATATATTATATATATTTAAAATGTTAAAGAATAAAAGAATTTATAATTATTGCCACATACAACATTATACAATTAAGTGGGAAGCGAGGTAAATTAACTTCTTTTTATTTTTTAATCTAAGAATGACAACAGGTCCTCATGGGACATGGGGCGGTAACTCCTTCCATCCCCATCTCTATTAATGAAAGATACAAGGATCTCTAAAAGAACTTTTGGTAAGGGGTTAAAAATAACCTCTGTTCCCATATTCGTGAGGAATGATAGATTTTTACAGGTATTTGGAGTTTCCATCAAATATTAATTGAGCTACGATTATTATTAAATGAGGAGAAATAGAGACAGAGCAACAAAGGAGGAATCTGATGGTCTGCTGTAGTTATTACTAAATGAGCTATGATTTAGATGAATGGAGTAGATGCGTTGTCACCATGAGGTAAGGAGGACCTACAGTTGGAGGTTGGAGTTGGAGGTGAGTGAAGGTAACTCAGGCAAGCAGCCACTGTTGTCAAGAGCTTGAGGTTAATCACAAGATGAGGAGTAGAGTTGTAGAGGAGGAATTTGAAAATTCTGAATCTAATGTTCGACAATTGGCTACTGGAGTTGGTTATTACTAAAATGAGTTGTGCAAATTGGGTTGGGTAATTGGGTTTGGGAAGACTAAATTCATTGGAAGTGCAAAAAGAATGGGCTGGACAGTTGGGTTTAGGAAGATTGGAAAAGAAATGGGCTGGGTAATTTATGTCGGATTAGGATTGAATTGGTGGAGTAAAAATTAATTAATAATATATTTATAAAAATATATATATATATTTTTTATTTGAATTCCTATGTGCCGGAGAAATTTTTCCATGAATTTCATATGAAAAAAATGTTTTCATGCTCGTCTCGCGAGAAGAAATATTATTGAAATTTCCATGGATCTCTACGAAGATCTGCGGGTCTCGGAGGAAATTACCCCCTCTATTTTTATCTTCAATTGAATAATCTAAACTCTTCCTTTGTGGATGATTTTCCATTAAACTTTGTTTTGTTCCATTAACTTCGCTGTTGTGACAAGTCACCCCATCTCCGTCGGATCAAATCTGACGATCAAATCTAAAGCTATGGGTCGAGTTTTTGTTCTGTATTCAATTGAAAATCAGATTCGAATCCCTTGATCCGTGAATTTCACTGGAATTTATGTATTTGAACTCCAATTTTTCTGCAATTATCTGACCCAATTGTTTCCGGTTGTAAATTTGGCTAAAATACTGTGATTCTGCGATGGAGCTCCGCAAAAATTGTTGCTTCTCCGTTTTGTCTCCCGATTTCACGATCACTTGCATCATCATCACCTTCACGATCGTTATACTCCGTGTTTTATACGTTATATATCAGAGTGGGAAGTTGCTACACCGTAGCGCGGCGGAGCAGCCTCTGAGTACTCTAATTGTTTTAGGTTCAGGTGCGTGTTTGACATTGTCGACGCTTTTTGTTGCTATTTTGTTACCGCCATTGCTTATTTTTCTTATTGGATTTGTTGTAGGAGGACACACCACCGAGATGCTTAATGTCCTGTCTGCGCTGGGAAACGACAGATTCACACCAAGGGTTTATATTGCTGCTGCTACTGATAATATGAGCCTCCTAAAAGCTCGCACCTTGGAGACTTCTATAGCTGAAAGGGTAAATTGCATTTTAGCTGTCTTTCTGTTTCATTGCTGTTCATGTTCTGTAGTAGATTACGTTACTGCTCATATCTATTCTAAATTGCCTGTAATGTTCTTGCATGAAAGCATGCTGAAAGAGAAACTATTTAATTCATTTATTCCACTTGCAAATAGCTTCTCTGATTTTCATGGCTCTTAAATTTCAATTACCTTGGGTCGCTTTTTGAACTTCTGACTGAACAAATACAAGGTACATAATATGGAAATGCTGGTAAAAATACAATTCTATTGTAACTTTACAAAATTATGTTGGAGCATGGTTGAGACCCTTATGGAGTTAGCACTTAAATTAACTGCTTAGAAAGAAGTGCTTTGAGAGCTTTGGTCTGTGTGGTTTGAGAAAAACTTAATGTCTTGTTTTAAAAAATGTGGAAGTATTTTCCTCTTTATACGCTCAACAATATCTACCAGAGTCAACTTGTAGATGCCATATATCGTCCAAGCCATAGCAACTCACTGCAAAACTAAGCTGCAACTTGGCCAAATTAACAACCCTTTCTATTGATTTCGTTTCTTGTTATTGAATTGTCTTTATTTATCTATTTATTTTTTTATAAATTTTTGTTGTGGTGGAGAACGATTAGTGTTGAAATATGTTGTTGCTGCAGAGTGGGGTCAGGGAGATCTCTGCACGGTTCATGCAGATCTATAGAAGTAGGGAAGTTGGGCAATCATATTTAACCTCTGTGTGGACTACTTTACTTGCTACAGCTCATGCATTGTGGCTGATGATCAGAATCAGACCCCAAGTGGTATTGTTTCTATTATTTTTAGCTTTGTGTGTTTTTTCCCAATAAAATGTTGCATTTATTCAAATTATGCTTGAATTGAGTTTCTTATTATCAACCTCTCTGAATTGCAGATTCTTTGCAATGGCCCTGGTACTTGTGTTCCTCTGTGTGTAATTGCATTCTTGTTTAAGGTTTAACACTTTTCCACTCTAAGCCAGTTCAGTTAAGCTTGTCTTTGTCAATTTAAGAATCTGAATGCTTAAAGAAAGCAAAAAAAGAAAAGTTAAATTCTTAAACATTTTCTTTACTGGAATCCCATTTCTTCATCAATTTTCTTTGCAATTTTTTTGAAGGTGGTGGGAATTAGATGGTCATCTATCTTTTATGTTGAAAGTATAGTAAGAGTGAAAAGGCTCTCTTTAAGTGGTTTGCTGCTTTATCAATTAAGGATTGCGGATCAATTCTATGTGCAGTGGCCAAAATTGCAAAGAAAATACTGTCGAGCTCATTCTGTTGGCTGTCTTATGTGATTGATACTCTGCTGCTAATGGGTACTCTCACTAAAACCTCTTAATTAAGATATTTTGCATTCTACAATTTTGAAGTTCCAGTCAATTATCAGTGGTATAGGAAATTTTATGTTTTAAATTTTAGTTGATCAATCAGGATCTAAGCTACACTAGGGATGTAGGATATTTTTGGTTCTGTTTAGTATGTTGGATAAACATATTGCAACATCTTTTGATCCTGCTTTCAATGAAAACATTTATGATTAAATGCTTAATTTGCACGAGGTAGATAAAAGGTGCTATACTTTTGAGATTTTATTTCTTGTTTTGCAGAAAATAATGATATTAGATAGAATTATGAAAGCCTGATTGCTCCATCAACTAACTTCTTCAAGTAGGGGGCTATTGGAAACTTCATTGCTGCTCCTATATTCACTCGTGGAGCTTTTATCATCAAGATAACATTGATAGACATAAGAAACAAAGCCCCATATGGCCAACACCATGGCTATTACCTTTATTGCATCCATTTTATCATGGAAGAAGATCACAGCTAGAATTGGTATGACAGGCAGACCCAAGACACTTATGGCATTGGAAAACAAAGAAGATACTTCAAAAATCAATCCTATTGTCCCAACAACAAAGATCTGTGAAGCTATAGCTGTTTCAATTAGAGTCATGGCATAGGAAAACCTTCCCAGACCAAACTCCTCCATCTCTCTTGACAAACCTTTCCATTCTCCACTGATGAAGAGTCCCACTAGAGCAGCAGAAGTTGCAATTATTGAC